TCCTTGCTTCTCGTCTGGTCTTGTCCTGAAGCTTCTACCGTTTGGTACAGATTTCCTGCAGAACCAAAAACAAGCAGAAAACAGCAACTTGCACTAGGCATTGAGTTAATAGGTTAGTCTCCTAAAAATGATATAAAATTGTATAAAAAATCCAAGATTGATAATATAATAGAATGAAGTAAAAAAATAGATACGTTGGAGACGTCCACCACCGCGAGGGCTGCCGCCGTCTCCCGCGCCTGCTGCCTCACAAGGCGGGCGCGCCGGGCCATGTTTGCGTTGGACGACGCCCAAGGTGCGTCCATGGCATCGGCGCGTCAACGGAGGGGTTGCACATCCGCCACCGCGTTCACACGCCAGAAAGACCGCATCGCCTCCGCTGAAGCAGCGACAACACACCTAGCGCCGGATCCGTGCGCCATTTGGACGGACGCAATGGATTCCTGGCGGAAGGAGTCTGAGCGCTGCCTCACACGGGCCTCCTCCCGAGAGCGACGGAGCACAAGCCGGACGACCATCTCCTCCTCAGGGCCGCGTGGGATGAGCTCGGAGTCGACGGATCTAGAGGTGCAAGACTCGGATCCGCTGCCCGACATGCCGGGGACGGCCGGAGATCGCCGGACGGGAGTTTGAATGGCGGAGGAGAGTGCAGTGAAGCGGTTAGGGTTTGGTCCGACGAATGGATGAAAAGGAATAGACGTGGGGTCGGGTGGGCTAGCGTGGACCGGGTCCGACGTGGCGGACACGCCCGAGCGTCCCCTTATCCGCCCCAGATTTGGGCTAGATATAAGAGATGTCGGTCAGCCTGGCGTTTGAGATCCGTTTAAGACGTTCGTGTGGGTTGAATTTTTGTGACCAGGTCGTTCGTCCGCACATTTAGAACGGGTTCGAGGCGTCCCAGCGTGGATGCTGGAGTTGAGATTTAGGTGGGGTCGTTTGCGCAGATAAAGGACGGGAGAAGGCCAAGAGCCCAAGAGATGCCATCATTGCCTCTCTCCTTCTCCGGCCTCCACGACCTTTTTAGCCTGAAGGCACGCACAACCGTTCCTGCTGCACAGACACATACTCCGGCGGTCCGGCCTCTTTCTTTCTTACCCATCAGTCAGGCCGCGCGTCACCACCTTTCTCATCCGCGCTCGGAATAGCCGGCCATGATGAGCAGCAGGCTAAGCGGCGGCACGATGGCACCGGTTAGCGACATGGCCGACTTCGGTTGCGCTCCCATGCAGTCCTACCCCAACTTTGAGCCGGCCGGCATGGTCATGCCCGGGGACCGGCAGCCGCCCTTCCAGCACCACCACCTCTACGACAGCCTCGACTTCAACGCCGCTGCATTCTCGTTCCAAGACCCGGTCGCGCTCTTCTCCAGCGGCTCGGCGTTCAGTAACCAGCTCCAGCAGCCGTTCCTCCAGACGCAGGTCACCACGCCGACGATGGCGTCGTCGTCGCTGCTGCAGGCGCCGATGATGACCCTTCCGGGTATGCTGACGTCTTCCTCGGCGTCGCCGGTGGACGCATGCACCTTCGGTGGCGGCGGCAGTGCTGGGTTCCTGAAGCAGGAGGAGGGCGGCCCCTTCTCAGACGTCGGCGGTGGGGGGAGGATCGGGCTGAACCTCGGCCGCAGGACATACTTTTCCCCGGCGGACGTGCTGGCCGTGGACCGCCTGCTGATGCGCTCCCGCTTCGGCGGAGCCGGCGCAATGGGCATGCTGGGGCTGGGGCTCGGCGCCGCCGCCCACCACCACCAGACCCCGCGGTGCCAGGCTGAGGGCTGCAAGGCCGACCTCTCCGCCGCCAAGCACTACCACCGCCGCCACAAGGTCTGCGAGTACCACGCCAAGGCCACCACAGTCGCCGCCTCTGGCAAGCAGCAGCGCTTCTGCCAACAATGCAGCCGGTATGTACGTTTATCCTCTGCCATGGGTGGATCGTTGATGCATGCGAAGCTTTGCTAGCAGACGAAAAAATCAGCAGTAGAAAGGCTGCGAGCTTTCGATCTAGTGGCATTGACGCTAGCAGCTATATGCACTGATCATATCATTCATGTCAACATGTCATATATCAGAAATGGCGCACATCAGATCAGATCTTGTTCCTCTGAGCGTATCGGCATCTGCATCCCTTTGTCCAATGTACTACTAGCACGCCCATCATGGCATTGCAGTGGAGTTCGATCAGATACCTAAACCTAGTCTGTGTAGATACATCATACATGGCGTGTATTACTTACAACGGTAGACATGTATATACCCAAGATCCGGTTGTGTGAATATAACTGGTTCTTGTTTGGGTACGTTTGTTGGGCTAGGTTTCATGTGCTCGCTGAGTTTGACGAGGCCAAGAGGAGCTGCCGGAAGCGGCTCACGGAGCACAACCGGCGCCGCCGAAAGCCTGCCGGCGCGCAGGGCAAGGATTCGCCGCCGCCTTCCAAGAAGGCAGACGCTAGCATCACCAGCTCATACACCGGCGATCACAAGAGTAAGACCACTCCTCTGATACATGTATAGACTTAAACACTGGATATATGCTTATTATTGGCTTTTTTAAAGCTTGATCACTTTAAGAAGTTGTGTTTTGATTTTCGGCCGCAAAATGTGGATTTCGGCCGAATTTCGGTCATCTCGGCTTGAGGCGAAAAGTATATGTAGGCCGAAATTACTCAAATTTGGTAAATTTTGGTCAAATTTAAGTCAAATTGCAGTCAAAATTTGATCAAATTTCAGCCGAAAATTTTGAAAATGGCCGAAATTCGGCCATCTCGGCCTAGGGCGAAAAAAAGCTCAAACCGAAAATCAAAACACAGCCAGTAAGCTAGCTAGCTACCTAGAAACTCCTGAAACTTTGTTAGAGCTTAGTGGGTAATTTGAACTAAAAGCATGACACTTCTTTTGCAACAAGGGAACATTTCAATAACGTATACCAAGTAAAGAACACAACAAAAACAGTTTGCCTAATTCTTAATTGTCCGAAAATTTAGTAAATCTATTTTGTCTTGAAATGGCACATCACTGGGCTAACCTAATAATGTACTCCGTAGCATCTTAAGTGTGTAACTGAAGTAAGATATAACTGTAGTTTTGACGGTGCACTTCAGCACTTGGCTGCAGTACACACCGGTAATTCTATGTGCCAGCAAGCACGTTACAACGTTCGGTTGGATAGAAACTAGTAGTACACGACATGACATGCCTAGATGCTACTTCTACATTTTGGTCGGTCGATCTGACGTACGTACCTACTAGGAGTACTACTCAGCTCAATTAACATGATGTTCATACGATGGCGCCAAAACATCTTATACGTACATACGTAGGTGTACCATCGTACTATACACTAGACGGTAGGTGCAACTCCTGCTACATACATGTGGCAGTCACATCTTGCCGTCTTGTCTGACGCCGCGACGTGTATATGATCAGCCAACAAGTCGACGACGGGGGCGGCCTTCTCGCCGAGCGCCGGTGGCTTCAGCTGCCTTCAGCAGCAGCAGCAGCAGCATGAGATCGACAACGGCGGCCAGTCGAGCAACGCCACGCCGACTAACCTGTCCCTGGCGGCGCCACCGCCACCGCCGCCGCCTCAAGACGACGCCGGCTTCGGCGCCGGCCTTGACACCATGCTGCTGATTCAGCAGCAAGGGCCCGATGAACAGGAGGAGGAGGAGGAGCAGCATTTCATGATGACCTCTCTCGTGCAGTCGCATCGCCAGCAGCAGCAGCACGGCGACAGCGGCAACATCTTATCGTGCTCGACGACGTCGCCGTCGGATCAGCGTCGCCATCAGAACGACGGCGACAGCTGCTGCAACGGCAACAGCATGCAGCATTTCTTTGAGGTGGAGTTCATGTAGCACGATGCATGCATGCACTGCATGAATGAACCTGGCCTAGCCTAGCCTAGAGGTGGTTTGACTGCATTATCGTGAGGTGTGTGTGCATGAGGTGAAAGAGAAAACAAGCTGGTTGCATGCACTAGGCTGTGCATGGAGTATAGCTACTAGGGTACGTAGGCGTGCAGGCTTTTTCTTTCCAGATTTAATTTCCTGACCTTTTCTGCATACTGTGTTTTTACTTGTACTTTTCTCAGTGTTACCCTCTTACAAGGGGGAATAGTGTATGTACTCCTGTAATTATGTTAGTATGCATGCTAACACTATATGTTAGCCTCCTCTTCTTTGATAAGCCATGTTTTGTTTCCTTTTATTAATATATTTATGTTATTGCAAACCTGTTGAGGATTCTAGTGGATTTAATATATGTTATTACAAAGCCATACTGACAGCTATATGTTATTGCAAAGTTTATACTCCCTTCGGTTGGGTTTATACGCGGGACATGAGTTTTTAGGTCTTCGATTTGACTAGAAAAAATGTATTATATTTTACAAAAATAATCTTTGGATTCATCGTCAAATAAAGTTTCTCACCATACATTTTTTGTGGCATATTATACATTTTCGAAAACACTAACGCCCACATGTGTAGGAGTCTGGCAACTCACCCACACGCATGGATCCTCATCCAACCAATTCTACACGAATCTTGGCGCGTTCTAGTAGTTTTTGTATGCCACGTAGGACTAAGCTGGTGTGTGGGCATTCATCCGGTCGCCCACACGTCTTTTTTCATCACACGGTGGGCTGGTGTGTGGGCGTTTAGCAATTCGCCCACACACCAGTTTTCACGCACGCAGAGGGGGCTGGTGTGTGGGCGTTTAGCAATTCGCCCACACGCCCATCTCCTCGCCCACACTCAAAGCTGTCAGTTGTCATGTGTTTCTGCAGGGTACATGGCAACTACCCTAGCTTTGCTTGTAAGTAGATGGCAACTCTCTTTTACCTGAGTTGCCATGTGTTTTTGCATGGTATATGGCAACTGCCCTAGCGTGCACGTAAGCAGATGACAACTCTTTCTCTTTACATGGCAACTGCCCTAGCGTGCTTGTGAGCACATGACAACTGTCTCTTTTACCTGAACATGTTTTTGCCATACTTTTTTGTAGTGCTACATGGCATCTGCCTAGTGTTAGTGGGTGGTAACTTCTAAAGTTTTGAAATCATGGTAACTGCAGTAGATCAGACCATACATGGCATCTGCAGTTGAGCAACCATGGCAACTATAGTTGTCCGACATGGCAACCAAAGTTTAGCGACATGGCAACTGCAGTTAAACGAACATGAATGAGGGTCTGGATCATGGCAACTGCGGGACGCGCGATGACTGTACGAGGCCTGACGTATGAGGCGTGCGGGCGTTATCTATTTTGCCCACACGCACGCATGTAAAAAGGATCGGGAGGGCAAAAAAAAAGATGTGTGGGCATTACTTGTTTTGCCCACACGTAGGTGTGTGGGTTGTTCCTCTTATACACCACACAAAATGTGTGGGCAGACTCCATAACACCCACAGGTATGGCACTTATCGGCGTCCTACATTTTTTATTAGTCAAATCAAAGATCCAAAAACCTGTGCCTGACTTATAATCCCAACCTGATCGGAGAGAGTTAGGGTCAGTTTGTCTGGTGGCTTTTTTGGGCTTCTAGAATAAACTGTCCCCTACCTAGCTTATTCTAGAAGCCCAACTAAAATATTTTTTAAAATCCTACTAGTCAGGCCTTAATTAATAGGCTTCTAAAAAATAAATTTAGTTGGGCTTCTAGCCAGTGGCGGACCTTAGTGGAACCCTGCAAGGGCCATGGCCCCCCCAAGTTTGAGTAAATTAGTGAAAAAAAATTCCTGAGACAATATAGATTAGAGGAAACAGTCTGCTTGCCCCCCTCCCCCCCTCCCCCTCAATTGATCCTTGTCAAACTCCGCCACTGCTTCTAGCATTAAGCTGGGTAGGGGGCAGCCTATCCAGCTTATTCTAGAAGCTAGTAAAAGAACTGGCCCTTACCCATTACAAAGAAGTCAAAGAACATACTACCCCTATATAAAAAGGGAGACCAACCCGGGCTAGACTACCTTGTTGGCATTTTTTTATAGAAAAAAACTCCGTGAATATTAAATGCTCAAGCCGAGACTTGAATTCTGATGGGCTGGCTGCAAGCTCCCGCGCCTTGCCAACTAAGCTACACTTAGTTCTCATACTACCCCTATATGACATCAGTAGAAATGTTTACATAAAACACTTGTGCATTATAAGTTCTATTGTCATACTATTGCCACACACACAAATTATTGTTATGCTAACATCCAAATCAGCTAAACAATAAAGCCCATGCAGTCATCTTCAAATGGTTATCTCTCAGCATCTGTGGGCACCTCCCAGCTTGAAGGTGTTCTTGTGGCTGGCTTCGCAGAACATTTGTTGGACGAATGCTGCTATACACACGACAAGTATGGACGATTTACACACGATGCTACCCATCAAGACGTCCATTTACACAAGATATACTGTATCAAGCCGTTCAATCAGCCATCGTGCATAGTTCGGGCGGGCACTGTCGTCCGCCCAGTAGTTTCGTTGTTGGACTTAAGATCGGCTCGCGCGGCCTGGCCTAACACACCAATCAGCATGCCCATTGTACTGTACATCCTAGTTTCCCGCAAAAATAAATTGCCTTGCGGTGTGTTATTGAGCAGAACATTCAAAGCATATTTATAAACATTTAGTACTCACTAATTCCCACTCCAAGTCAGTACATTTACCTAGCTATACAATATGTCTGCAGTTAAGCAGTGAATCTGAACGGAAATTAAAAGAAGATCTATGCGTGATCTTTGCCTGGTAATTAGCGATTCTGCGTATTAAAATGGGAGGGACCGCCGCGCAGTTACTGGCTGGATGCTGTAGGATTTTTTTTTATGCATGGATTCCGACGGGAATTAAAGATGAAGTACGTTCATGGGGGCCATTCGGCTGGGATCCCACCATAGCGCGCTTTCTGCGATGATGTAAGAGATGACTTTTGATTCCGGAACAAAAGGACAGATGATTTTGGTCAGTGAAATATCCGACCCTACCCTTGTTAAAAAAGATGCTCCGAAGAGATCAACAGGTAAAAAAAATCACCATGCACAGCTCAGATGAATTTTTTTTTGGAAAAAAGGATGAGCTCAGATGAATTTTAACAAGCCAATTACAAAGGTGAGCATCTAATTCGGAACATTGTCCTCTATGGCTGCCATGTAATGCTTGGAGCGGGCAGAGAGAAGCTTTTTGTGCTCCCATTGCCAGATATATACACGTGCATGTAACATGTGTGTGTGTGTGGGTCTTTCTTTTCGTCGGCAAAGAATTTATCTAGGCTTAACGAACCTACACTTACCTTTGCCTGAAGCGAAATCTGGCGAGGATATGTGTATGTGGTACGTATAATTAGTTACGTAGGTCATGAATGCATGAGTGAATGGGCTAGCCGACCGTATGCAGAGTCTCTACTGGCCTACTCACGGTCTAAGCTGTAGCTGTTGCTTGTTCGGGTTTTTGTTGGGGATGGGTTCTGGGGGCAAACGCAAAATCAGCTGCAGCGATCTGTGGCTTCTGTATGCATGCGGCCACCTTTAATTTTTGTCCTCGAACGAGCACACACTTTCCGATTTAGACCAAATTATGGTCGTTCGAAGTTTGTATAAATCTTGGTCACCTGAAATTGCAGTGTATAAATTAACTATGTTCATTAGCAAAAAAATATGGTAATGTCAGCCAGCTCAAGTTCGTTTGAAGAGGGGTGGCAAGGGAACGTCGTTTGATGGCAGTTTAAGTTGTGAAGAAAAATTAAACGACGTCAGTTTTAAAACAAAAGATGCCTTCTCTGAAGATACTGTCATGTTGCTGCGAAGAAATTGTTACCCCCTCACAACTAAAAATGCCACCTAAAAATTCCGCATGTGTGACCCTCTCGGGCGAACGTTCGCCAGTTATGAGCATTCAAAAATTAACCAAGTACTTTTAGTTTTCAAGGAACTTTTTTTAAAACAAGGTACAACCGCATACATACGCACATACACTCATCCCTATAAATGCACGCATGCTCCTTATCCATATGAGCACCTCCAGTAGACTGAGTCAGCATATCAACTTGAGATTGACGAAGTTGATGTGTACGTCTACTATCGCCGAAGGGTCTGAAAGAAATCAAAGTAAAGATTGACGAAGCCGACGTGAACATCTCCTATCGCCGGAGGACCTGAAATAAATCCAGAAAAATGCAACCACCAATGCCAAGTCTAGGACTTGACCCCTAGTGGATGGGTTCCATCACAAGGAACCTAACCATCTGATGTACGCTCAGTTCGCAGTTTGCAAGGAACTTAACAGACTGATGTAGATACAGTTGATCCAAATCATACTCGCAGAGGCTCCTTTCCTTCCCAAACCCTAGGCGGCTAGGGCAAACTCTCCCCTCCAGACTTCCCTGGTGAGCTTGTGGATTCCACTCCCATTTGCCTGTTGTCGGTGCTAAATCTGGCATATGTCGAGGTAGGGGTCCTAAGTTAGGCGTGTTGGAGCGATGGTAACATGGACACAGGATTTTACCCAGGTTCAGGCTCTCGAAGGGATAATACCCTATGTCATGCTTTCGATTGTATTGAAATGGTGGATAATACATAGTATAGGTATCTACCACGAGATTTTTGTGTATGATTCCAATGATCTATTGTGTAGCCTGGCCATGTGTTGGGGAATGTAGTAATTTCAAAAAATTTCCTACGCACACGCAAGATCATGGTGATGCATAGCAACGAGAGGGGAGAGTGTGATCTACGTACCCTTGTAGATCGACAACGGAAGCGTTTGGTTGATGTAGTCGTACGTCTCCACGACCCGACCGATCAAGCACCGAAACTACGGCACCTCCGAGTTCTAGCACACGTTTAGCTCGATGACGATCCCCAGACTCCGATCC